CCCCCCCCCCTCCCCGAATCTCCTACTGACTAGTATAAAGGAAAAGTAAACTGTATCATCGTGTTCTATTCTCCTGCTTTCAGTGGCTGAAAGGAAAGAAAAGGCTCTTGGCTGGGAATACATTCTATCGCTCTTATGTTCCATTATAAAGCATGTAGATACTCTTACAGATGTTACACAAGTATCTGACCCTCCGTGTACTGAAGTGTTTACTCTTTTCTATGCTCTTGGTTTTCATACACGTCTGTACCATTGCTGCATCTCATAATGGGTTTTTTTGTGCTTTATTCTCAAGGAAGTAAATGTTGACTTTGAAGCTCATACTATGTGTGACAGTGACAAGGACGGGATCCAGAAACTGCTGAAACAGGTAAGGAAATGAGATAGAATTCTTTATAAATCAGTGGGTTCGGTTAACTGATGGGATGGAGTTGGTCTGATGTGACCCTCCTGTTCTCAAAATGCATAACGTTGTATTACATTTTCAAATTGTTTATCAATAATGAATCCAAATCAAACAAATCTACATCCTTAAGCAAAGTATCTCTTTAAATTATTGTGTTTCTAAATGGCTCCAACTCTCCCAGCTTAGGTTCCCTGAACTTTCTGCCCAGTACAAGAGCGGACAACTCCAGCCCTCCATAACCCCAACTTGGCTCTGGGAGTCATGCCTGTAACTGTCAGTCTTGCAATGCCTCATGGGACTTGTAGCTTCACAACAGCTGGAGGACCGGAGTTGCCCACCCCTGGTCTAATAGTTTGGAGAAGGGAAGACTGGAGGGAGGGGAATTGCCTTGCTGTGTCTGTGTGTTTTTGTTGAGACACATAATTCATACACAAAACCCTACAAGGGAAAGGAGCCACCCTAAAACAGGATATGAGGGCCAACACACAGGAGACCAACTGCTTGTGCAGGTAATTAAAACTTTTAAACATCGAGGAGCAATATCCATTGTAAGAGATTTAATCAGCATTTGAATTTGCTTAACTTTTTTGACCTTAATATCACTATACGCCAGGGATGGCCAAACTGCGGCCCTCCAGCTGTGGTGGAACTATGAATCCCATGAGGCTTTGCAAGATTCTCACAGCCACAGACATGACTCCCGGAGAGAGATGCTTCATGCGACTTGTAGTTTCACCACAGCTGGAGGGCCAGAGACATGAACATTGTAATAGGAATACATACTGGAGGTGTTGTTGATATACAATGAAAGCTTACTTGGAAAAATCCATTTTATGTAGTCACTTCCATCAACTTCCTGGATTCCCAGCGTACTTTGTGTCTCTTTGCATTACATCAAGCATCAGGGAATCTCAATTTCTTAAGAATGCAAATCCCACCATGCATTGCTTCCAGCAAGCAATGATAATGTTACCTTGTTCAGAGGTTGAGTTGTAGTTCAGAAGGCAGGCTCTGAGCTGTGACACAATTAAGTGCATAGTCACAGTGCTGAGGGAGATGATGTCAGGATCCTATCCCATCCTTCAATAAGTAAGTTTACAAACTTCTAGATGGATCTGGTTATTAGGAGTGGGAGAGAAATTATGGAAATTCAATGTAGAAATACAGATTTATTTTAGTTTTTGACCATGGAGTTGACCACGAGTGAGTACACACATGAGACTTGTTTGGACTTTTTTTAATTTTCTTTTTCTTTTAGCTGTTCCTCAAAGCTCATGTGAACATCGCAGAACTGGCAGACCTTCTCATTCAGCAGAATCACATAGGAAGTGTCATTAAGGTAATTGTTTGTAAAGTTACATATTATTTCATATTATTAATACTATAATATTTTTTAAATTCTATATATATTAATAATAATATATACTAGGGATGCACCGATACTAGTATTTGGGCGAGTACTCGTACTCTCCCAAATGCTCCGGTACTTGCCTCCGATACCGGAAATCTCCCTCTGACTGGCAGTGCTGAGGGTGCATGGAGCTGGCTTCCTTTCCTATCCGGACGCTGGACAGTGGTTTATGACCCACCTCCCGGACTTCCTGATTTGGCTTCACGTGTTGCTAAGCAGCCTGCTTTCCTAACCAATCAGGAAGCTGGGCAGCACTAATGACTCGCCTCCCAGCTGCCTGATTTGTCAGCAAGCCAGGCTGCCAGGAACAAGTGAAGCCGACTTCCTAGCCAATCGGGAAGCCCGGAGGCAGATCATGACGTGCCACCCGGTTTCCTGATTGGTTAGGAAGCCGGCTTCACATGTTGCTAAGCAGCCTGGCTTCCTAGCCTACCCGCGTTGTGGAGCATGACGGTGCCAGTAATTTCAATTTGTGCATGCACTATCTTTTGCGATCTCGCTGCACTGGAAGGCAGGGCATTGCTGTATCACGCGTTCGGTGTGGGCGATCGCGTTGTGCAGTGCCATTGAAATGAATGGCACCTCCACACCCCATCCCTCCCCAGAACGCTGGGAGGCTTTCATTGTGCGATCCACTGTGTTCATGTCATCTTTTTGTATTTCTAAGAGACCCAAATTGGTTGATGGAATGATAGTGTTTAACTGCTGTCTGTCCCTTTTCATTTCCCCGTTCTTTGAATTTATGAGAAGTACACTTTTTGTGCCTGTACATGTCCCCCATAGCAGCCAATTTTCCTCCACTATCTGATTTACACTAGAAACTCCCAAAAAGTTATAACTTTACTGCCTTTGGAGAGATTATTAGAATGTATCGCTGCCTGGAGGAAAGGTTTTTATAATTTTACTGCCTTTGGGGGGACCCGGGGGAGAGTACCGTATTTTATTTTGATGCTTGCAGCAATGGTTATTATCCTTTTATTGGCTTTGAGAAGAATTTTGTTTTTAATGGTTGGGTTACAAGTTATAACAATTTTTCTGCTTTTTGGGGAGAATTTGTAAGTTTATTGCTGTTTGGGGTCAGAAATTAGCTTAATTTTATGTTTCCATGGATACGATTTATTATAATGCATTGCTCAAGAGGGATAAGTAATACTTCCAGTGGAATACATAATAATGCTGAGTGGTATTGTGATATATTAGAATGCTGAGTGGTATTATGATGCTGTTGGGGGAAACAATACAATTGCTCATTGGTTGCTGTTTGTGCATGCCCCTTCCAGCTTGTTGTCTACATCAGCCTTTCTAAACCAGGGTGCCCTTCTGGTACATTGGGGTGCCTTTGGGCTTCTTCAGAGGTGCCTCGAAATTTTAGTGGATTTTAGTCTGCGGTGCCTCGAGATTTTGCATACTTTTTAGAGTGGCGTGACTGAAAAAAGGCTGAGAAACGCTGGTCTACACTGACAATGTTCATGTGGTTTTCTATACTTTTGGATTTACTGACCTGAAAACAGTATGTAATTGAGGATTCAGACTTTATTTGTGACGTACTTGTTCTGTCAGCTAAACTCATATTGTGTCCAGAAAAGTATTTTTATTTAAGGTTGCATGAAATAGGCCAACATGCTTTTAGAGTTCAATGCAGCCCCCTTTCATCAAGGCTAAAAAAAGCAAACCAAAAAAAGGAATTAATAAGTAGTCCATTGGTAGAGCTTGCTTTTTCCTGATGAAGGGGGTCTCTTGAACCCCTGGAATGCATTACTCTCCTTTTTTAAGGCAACTCTAAATAAAAATACCCATATGGGCACAATACGAGTTTTGTGATTTCTTCCAGAAACCTCTAGTCTTCTTGGGACAAGAGCTGAACTATGGTTCCTGGTCTCCAGAGAGCTGCCTCATGGAAACATCTGCCACCAGATGAGACACCCCATCAGATGAGACACCCCATCAGGATCCTCACCAGAATTAGAGATCCAGTGCTCCACTCACCCACCTTTTTTAAGCCTTTTATTTTTTTCATGGCAGCTATACTTTAACTGTTGGGGGCAGTTTTGAAACCACAAGAGCGATATGTGGTCTCAGACCGGATTCACTTTGTTACATGACTAACAGCTTATGGAATTTTGTGTATTGACTATTTCTCCCCAAAAAGTTATTTTGACATATTTGGGACTTAATTTTGTGTATTATTATTATTATTATTATTATTATTATTATTATATATTTTTACATTTGTGTTTTGTTTTATTATTTAGTCAAAACCAGTATATGATAAATTCTGCACTTTGTCTAATATTACTGTGTACATTTCACCTTTCTGAAAAACAAAACCTAAAGCCCATTTTAGGGCAAACCTGGGCTGCCCCTGCACTGCAAGAGTTAACCACTTGTATATGCCTAGGGGACAGGATTAAGCTGTTTTTATGTACCTTATCCCTGCTCCTGATGGTTCCTTCCAGGCTGTTAGACCAGTCCTTGCTGCCTCTTCTCACCTTCGTTCCAGCAGTCTAAGGACCACTGATGCTATCATGTCTAACACAGGTTCCATAGACCTGCATTAGATGTGGGGATGCTGAGGGACACTCCGCAAGTTGAAGTGGTGTTGAGAGGTGAATGCTGACCATCAGGAGAGCAGGGATCAGGTAAGTAAAAGGGCTTTACTCCAGCCCCTAGGAATAAACTAGTAAGAGGAAGTTTGTGGTTTGCTCGAAGATCGATTTGAGTGCTGAATAGGAGAAGGTGAGTGTCACATGCTCCCCAATACCTGGAAATACCACCACTTTCTTGGGGCTTTGACAGTGGGGTGGATCTCTGAGAAGATGTTTGCTTATAATAGACTAGGGGTGAACAAATTTTGATATGGAAATCAGGAGACAGTCTGTCCAATCCAGTAGCCAGCCAACCCCATTAAGCCAACGACTAGCAAAAACCATGTAATAGAAGGCCATAGTAGAGGTTAGCTGTTAAGAATGATAAATCTGTACATGCTGGAAGCAAACTAAGCAGATGGGCAGAGAACCTCAGAACTTTGTTCCTTCATCTTGTGATGTCTACTTTTCTCTAGTCACCTTCCAGGACAGCATTAGAGAGATAGGCTCCTCCCACCGGAACAGGAAACACATCACCCACACTTAAAATAAAAAGGAGCACAAGCCTAGCACGCTTCAGTTATTTTGTGTTTCCTCCGGCCGAGCAGGACATCGTAACGTTTGTTATTTTTTTCCGAGGCCTACGTGCTAGTGAGCAGGGGCTTCCCCCCAACATGGTACAGCAGAGGGTCAGTGGACCTGGGGTACCTATGGAGGGGGGCTTCCGGGACAGCCCCAACTGTCCAAGGAGCAATTGCCTATGGTTTCCCGGCATAAGAGTATGCAGGACAACCAGCCTGTTGATGTAGTGGACTCAGAGGAGTTCCCCTAGTCCTTAAACCCCTGCTTCAAGTGCACTATAGAGTGGTTTTGGCTGAGTGTGGCGCTCCTACCTGATCCTGGTGCCGGGTGCAAGCTCGTCAGTTCGGTGGTGGACAGCGGCATCCCCTGGTCTCTGGGCGTCGGTCGGCCGCTGAAGAGGTGCTGTGCGGCGGCCCTCGTGGAGACAGGGGGAAGGAGGACACGAGATGTCAGGGCGGAAGTGACGCTCGCCGCGTGGCGTCTGACACCACTTCCGGGTGCGAGGGTCATATGACCCGGCGTCTCCAAGCTGCAGTTAACGCTCGGTCACGCTACAGATGGCCAACATAGTGGAAGCAGTGGGTCGCAAGGCCCTTGCGGTGCCCACACACGCAAGGGGGGGCACCAACGGTGGGGCACAAGAGCTGGAGTCGGAGGGGCCAGGGGGCCCAGCTGGAGACTCAAATACCATGATGGCATCATTTGATCTGGGGGATCCTGGTGCCGGCAGCTCTAAGGTAAGAGAGGGGGAGTTCCCCATTCCTTTTACCGGTTATTTCTCAGTGTTTGCGGGCATGAGAAATGGGGTTGACACACGTTGGAAGATTGCTGCTTTTTAACATAGCTTTGTCGTTTTTTGTTTTGCAGAAAACAACTGCAGCAAATCGATCTGGCTATAAGAAATGTGCACAATGCTGTGTAAAGTTTTCCTCCACATTCCCAAAAAAACAAAAAAAAACCCTGTGCCAGTCTTGCATTGGAAAACTGGTCAAGGCTGAATCTTCCAGCATGTTTAAAAAGATTCCATGCGAGAAGAAAGGATGTCAACCTTTCAGTCATTCTGCACGGTGATACGGGTTACAGATATGACTGGTAGCCATGCGGTGGCAGTTCCTTCATGTTCTGGGCCGCATGTTCCCCTTCAAGCGGCCTCACGGCCGAGTAGTGTATCTGAGAGGGCTGCTACCGTGTCGGATTCTTCCTCTAAAGGTGGATCCTGGTGCTAGCAGCTCTGAGGTGGACAGGGGTTGGACCCCCCATGCCTATTCTTTGTGTCTCAGTGTTTGGAGACATGAGGGACTGGTTGACACCTTTTCAAGTTCTGGTGTTCGTTGGGCTACGTTTTTGTGTGTTTTGCAGATACAAACCCTCTGAAGGAACTTTGTCTTCTATCTTCCTCTATGTTGTCTTCTATCTTCCTCTATGTATGAGGTGGTATGAGTACTTACCTGGGTGTTCAACAAAGGCGCTGGTTTGATGTTTGGGAAACCAAGGCCTCTGAAAGAAGAATGCTCTCATCAGTCAGCGCACATGGCAGTGATGGGCAGCCTGCAACATTAAATATCCCTTTTCTTCCAAAAAAACCACTGTGCCAATCCTGTGTAGGGAAGCCAGTGGTGGATGAGTCGTCAGGCATGTTTTAAAGCCTGATAGACTGTAGGAGGAATATTATGAGGACTGATTTATTTCTGTGATTTCCCCATACTGCAGCAAGCTGAAGGTGGAGACGATAGTGATGACGATGTTGAAGACGACCATGTTTTTGGTTTCATAAGCCTGTTGAACCTAACAGAGAGGAAGGTGCGTATGGGTGGAATTCCTCATAAGAGTTTGTCTGTTTTTTCCTCTGATGTTAGAATGTTGTCATAGTAAACATTTGTGTGCTTTGTCTGATGGGATTGCACAGCCACAAGTCCTTGTCAATATTTATTAGGAACACGTCAAACCAGCAGTGGTGTCATTGTCATAATGGATCCTGGAAGACTCCTACAATATAGGCCATTATAGTCTCTAGTGACCTGTATAAATTACAACTTCCTGGACTTGAATAAGGCCGACCTATACGCAAAAGATACATATGGGCTACTATAACTGTAGTGTTTCATTTACAAAACAAATAAGGGTTTGCAGTTGTATAAATCTAATTTTTCCTGCTTCCGGCCAGTGATGTGACCAAAGGCTAGGCAAATGTGGAGTTGACTTTAATTGGAAAATATAATGGTTGGGAACAGCTCATGGTTGGCCAGTCCTGCCTGAGCATTTGTTCTCCAAGCCAGCCCATGGCAGAGACCACATGACCAGTGCCTCAGTCTCAAAGCACCGGTGGCTGAAACGGCATAAATCTACAAAAGAAATGTGGAAGTGGCCATTGTTGAACTACCTCTGAATACATCAGTTGTCTGGCTGTCTCTGGCTACATTTCTTTGAGGCGCTGACCCAGAACAAGCATGCAGATTAGAAAGCCTAATCTGCATATTTTTCAAGTCCGTACATCCACAAGCATTGAAGCCTCTGGATCAATATGGCACCCAGGTAACTAGCCTTATAGAAGGAAATGTAGGCTGGGTCAGGCTGTGTATTCTCCTAGTATAGATTTCCTTTAACCTAATTCCTGTTACTTCCATCCTACTAATTCCATGGTGATCCAGTACTGTAGTCTTGGCCTGCTCTGGGCAATAAAACTAATCTGACCCGTTATCCAATGTTTTTTCTTTTAAAATGGAGCCCTCCAAAAGCCCTTTTTCACTTATTTGACTCCGCTGTCACACGCCCCTTGCCGACTCGTCTTCCGGTGTTGGATACTGGTGATCCAGAGCTGTAGTCTGAGTCTGCTGCCAATCGGCCTTGTTGCAACCCAACACCACACTGAACCTAGTCTTCAGGACTTGAGGACCCCACTGTCTTGTGACATGGACATTTCCTAATGGCTGTCCATTCATGGGGATCTTCACACCGCAGCGAGAAAGAAAAAAGACTTGGAAGACACTGCGTCACATGACCAAAAATTGAGGCGAGTAAAAAGGGGCATTTATATGAGTTTGTCATTTTTAATTGCTTTAGTGATTTATCCAGAGTAGGTGAGGAGTATTGTTTATAGTGGAAACTTCCTCAGTTTGACCTCAACATTGACCCATAAACAATCACGCTTCCCTTATCGGGCATTGTATACGGACATAAACAAATACCAGTTGTCCTAGGACAGGGGTAGCCAAATTGTGATCCTCCAGCTGCGGTGAAACTATAAATGCCATCATGCCTTTTGGAAGTCATGTCTGTTGCTGTCAATGCCTTATGGGTAGCTGGAGGGAAAAAAAATTCCCTCCAGCTACCCCTGTAGGGGTACAATACCCCTGTCCTAATGGGTCCAAATCCTATCTTCAGACTTCTGGTGCTTTTAAACAACAAAGGCTCAAAATAGGTGCGTGCTGAAAACATACTGTAAGTAACTCCTTTTTAATAAGGACACCATCTCTTCTTTTTTTTTTTCTCTTAGGATACCCCATGTGCTGATGAAGTAATGGAGCTGATTCTGAGCCACTGCGAGAAAAACTGCGATCAGAGCGCGGCCGACCAGTTAGAAAAAGTTTTAAATGACAACAGCAAACCTGTAGGCCTTCTCCTCAGCGAGAGATTCATTAATGTTCCTGCACAGATTGCTCTGCCCATGCACCAGCAGCTCCAGTAAGTCTCATTTCCAGCTTTCTTTTTTTCATTTTCCCTCAGTCACCATCAAAGATGTTATTTAAATGTAAATGTGTTGGAAGTACAGAGACTAAAAAACTGTAACAATGTGACAATGAAGTTGATATGATTAGTAGAGGCAGGGTATGTTCTGTCTTTGTTTTCCTATGAAAAGTAGAACCGTAATTGTTTCTTATATGTTTTGGAGCACAAAAACCACAGCGCCTCTCGTTAAGATTCATTTATTATCTGTACAGCTTTCAAATTGGGAAAATGCCATTTTAATGAATTTTGTACCGCGTCTGTTTCTGCTGCTGTCACAAATAAAACAAATTGTGTACAAATTTGGAAAGCTTCTGCGCGCAGTAAAGCTGGCTGATCATCGGACAGGCTAGGAAATCTTAGATCTCGTTTACTGATGTGCATGGGGGAACACGCTTTCCAATCAGTGTTTGCTTGTCATCGAAGGGGCAAGATGAGAGGATTTAAAGCGCTCATCTTGTCAAATTCTACCCCCAAACTCCCACCATCCAATTATATTTTTTACGTACATGATTCCACAGTCACGTGATCACTGCAGCTCCTCTTCTATGTTGCAGTGTTGTTATCTTGGCTAGCACACCCAATGACTTGTGTTTGCTTTTGGAAAATATTGGTCGTCTCCAGGACATGGTCCAGCTATAAGTGGGGGGGTGAGCGTTATCCAACTCCGGCTATAGGTGGGGGGTTGGATCGTTCTCCGGCTATAGGTGGGGGGTTGGATCGTTCTCCGGCTATAGGTGGGGGGTTGGATCGTTCTCCGGCTATAGGTGGGGGGTTGGATCGTTCTCCGGCTGTGAATGGCTGCCCCAGAGCATACGGTAGACTAGGTTCCCCACATCTTTGCAGCATATAACACTAATGTGCGGAGGTGCTGGAGTAACTATCCACATTAAGGGGCAGTGACTGTTCTTCATTTATATCCTGTGTTTGGTCATCCAAAAAGCATTACTGCCCTGAGTGCCAGCTAAGAATAACCAGATTAAGAACACTATCAAGGTGCAGACAGCTCGTGATGCATGTAATCCCTTAGCTCCTTATTTATGGACCCTTTACAGAGGGCCTTAACTTCTGCCCAGTTTTTAGGGAAGTCCCACTTCCCACCATCCAACAGTTCCAACAGTCTTGTGGGAGATTTGATTCCCTAGTGGCAACTGTGGCTCTCTCATAGAATGTTGGTGGCTTTGGGATCTTGGTTTTAGGGTTTGTAGTGCTAGTCCAATGTGGGAGTCTCTACTTGCAACTTTGGCTTTTACATTGTAAAACTGTTGGTTGGACTTTTAGGTTGAGAATTGCTCTTGGCTCTTACATGGACGATGCTAGTCTTGTGTGAGAGCACACCACTGGCTTCTGTGGTGCTCACGTAAAATTGGTGGTTTAGCTGTGGGGTGGGTAGTGCAAGTCCATTGTGAGTCTCTATGGGCCAACTCTCTTACCCTGAATAATAAATAGAATTTTGGGGTTTCTAAAATAGAGCCAAACTGACATTTCACTGTTGGTGAAAAACTGATTGTGTCATTCTGGAGAGTCTCTAGTGGCTCTCTCATTGAATGGTGGTGGCTGTGCGGTGTTAGGACTGAGGTGGGCATCTCCATTGGCTACTATGACACTTGCATTAAATTTATGGTGGTTGTAGGGTCTTGGCTGTGATGTGGGCAGTGCAAGTCCAATGTAAGAGCTTCTACTTGCAACTGTGGCTCTCACATTGAATGTTATTGGCTTTAGGATCTTGGTTTTGGGATAGGCAGTGGTAGAAGTGTTAACTAATAGCAGGAAAAAAATCAGCGCTGCTGCGTAAATCTCAGAACAGGATGGACCAAAAAAAATAGTTTGACAGGTAAAACAACTCCCATTTCTATATCCGTTGGCTTGCAGTTCTGCTTTAGGCTTATAAACAAAATATTAACGCTTGCCTTAAACATATATGATAGTTCATTATAAAGCCGAGAAAATATTTTTCACCTGCCCGCTCTAATAGGATGATACCAAAGCAATAACTATTGGATTACAACAACAAAAAAAGCGTGTGTTAATGTATTTTCCAGAAGATGCATGATGCCCAGGCTTCCCTTGTTAACCTGCCATGAACAATGAATTCCATTATTAATTCCGCCACAGAGTGCAGTTCGGGTCTGGCGGCTGTAAATTGTTAATTGCGGAGTAGTGGGTGTCGCGCAGGAGAGGGGTCACCCTTAGATATGGAGAAATGACTGGTTTTCGCACTGACACGACTGCGGTAAATCTAGTTAAGATTGCAGCACAAATGAAGTAGCGAGCCTCCGGGTCAGACTTGCAGTAATGGCTCTGAATGGCGCTGTGCGATGGAAGAAGATCGCGGTATAAAATGAGCTGGCTCCAGGCCTGTAATTTAATAGTAAACTGTCAGCGATACGTTGTGTTTCTGTGTACACAGCACACTTCTCTCTGGACGCACACACATTTGCATAACGTTTTATTGTTATTGCCAGATTTTTGGGGAATTTATTCTTCCACATTGAGAAGTTCTAATTCACTCCTTCCGCTCATTTATGCGACATTTTGGGATCGGGGTAGAATGTATCTCCAAATTAGAGCTTGGTCACCTGCAAAGAGCTGCTGTAAACAATGGCTGGTATGGCAATGTCCAGTATTTAAAGGTGAACTCCGGGCAGATATAAAAGGCGCAGATGAATGCAGGAATACTGTTTCTTAATACATTATCATGGAAGATAATTCAAAGAAAAAAAAAACATTAAAGAAAAAACAGTGAGGCTACCCCCGCACTGGAAGGGGTTAATTGCTGGTTTTGGTCTAGTAGTGCAAATAAAGACAATATACTCACCTGATCCTCAGTGCTAGACTGGTCCCCGCAGCCTCTTCTTCCAGGGCTCTGGCAGTCTAAGGACGACTGATGTCACCTCTAATGAAGGTTCATTGACTTGCATTAGATTCAAGCATGTCACATACCACATCTGGAGCAGAGGGGGAAAGAGGTGAGCGCTGACTGCCACAGGACGAGGATCCGGTGAAATATTTCTGCTTTATTCCGCCCCTAGACCAAAACAAACACTTAACCCTTTGCAGTGCAGGGGTATCCCAACTCGGTGCTGTCCTGAGCCGATTTAGGCCCGGGGGTGAGGTTTGGTGAGAGCAGCGAGAGGTAGGTAAAGGAGACAGCTTCACCGACCTCAATCTCCCCAGCCAGCTCTTGGCAACCTGGAGTGTCCTTACAGCTGCCCCACCCAGCTCTTTGGCAACCTGTGATATCACCGTTTGCTAGGAGCTGGACGAAACACCCGCCAGAGCACCTCCTGTTGCTAAGAGCTGGGCGGGGGGAGATGAGTATGGCCGGTACACATCTCCCCATCTGGCTCTTAGCAACCTGGGACGCTCTGGCCAGAAAGGGGACGGCAGGCACACTGCAAACATTGTGCAGCAGAGGGCCAGTATACAACAGACATGTCGCTCTGCCTGCTGCATAACTAAGGCTTCCATCAGCCTTTTGTGATAAACAGAAAAGTTTGCACACGCTTCGAGATCAAGTAAGAAATCTTCTTTATTTATTCAAGGCAGAAGACCACACATAGCAGTCCTGTTGACGCGTTTTATCCGAAAGAGGCCTTAATCATTGCTATAAGCCAGGTTGTGAGCGATTTTTGTCTTTTCTCTTTAAGACCTAACTGTTCCCACTTGTTCTTCCAAACAGGAAGGAGCTGGCAGAAGCCCAACAGACCAATAAGCCATGCGGCAAATGTTATTACTATCTCATCATCAGCAAAACTTTCATGGAACCTGAGAAGAAATCCCAAGGCAAGGAAGAGATGATGTTTGCAAACGCAGAAGATGAGTTTTTCTATGAGGTAATTCCTGGTTTGCCTCCATCCACCTTGGGGTGCTTGCATACACAAGTTTTAACTTTTGGCAAAAACATTGAGCACTCTAACACTTCCTGCAATTCCCTATTGGTTATCTAACGAATGGGCGGCTTCATTGTCTAGGAGGGAGGGGGCTGTTATTTATGAAGTGTGGTGGGAGGGGGCTGTTATTTATGAAGTGTGGTGGGAGGGGGCTGTTATGCATGAAGTGTGTAGGTGCAGTTTGTAGATAGTAACACACAACACGGGGACACATGCAGCGTTCTAAGATTCTGAACAGGACACCAGATATCCCATGTGTCCTGTTCAGATGCGGCCACTGTACCCTTTGAAGTAAATTATTGGGTGACAACGGCCGCATCTTTCAGCAGCAGTCCGCCATTAATCGTAGCGGTAAAATGACATGCAGTTTGTTTCAAATGAATAGATGTGTCCAGCCACAATCCTCTATCCCAAACCACATGTAATCATGCAATGTACGATTACATGCGGACTGAAGCTGACAGATGGGGCTTCTGTCACCCTATCATTTACTTGAATGAGCACAGCGGCTGCATCTGAACAGGGACACCTGAGATTCCTGCTGCAAGAATCTGTAGGTTTTTAGGCCAAGAACATTTTACCTGTTGATCTTGCCAGAAGTGCCGTGTCGTCTTCAATGTCATTGTGAATTGATATCAACCATTATCTCCCTTCCAAATTGCCTCATTGGTGAGAGCAGCGAGAGGTAGGTAAAGGAGACAGCTTCACCGACCTCAATCTCCCCAGCCAGCTCTTGGCAACCTGGAGTGTCCTTACAGCTGCCCCACCCAGCTCTTTGGCAACCTGTGATATCACCGTTTGCTAGGAGCTGGACGAAACACCCGCCAGAGCACCTCCTGTTGCTAAGAGCTGGGCGGGGGGAGATGAGTATGGCCGGTACACATCTCCCCATCTGGCTCTTAGCAACCTGGGACGCTCTGGCCAGAAAGGGGACGGCAGGCACACTGCAAACATTGTGCAGCAGAGGGCCAGTATACAACAGACATGTCGCTCTGCCTGCTGCATAACTAAGGCTTCCATCAGCCTTTTGTGATAAACAGAAAAGTTTGCACACGCTTCGAGATCAAGTAAGAAATCTTCTTTATTTATTCAAGGCAGAAGACCACACATAGCAGTCCTGTTGACGCGTTTTATCCGAAAGAGGCCTTAATCATTGCTATAAGCCAGGTTGTGAGCGATTTTTGTCTTTTCTCTTTAAGACCTAACTGTTCCCACTTGTTCTTCCAAACAGGAAGGAGCTGGCAGAAGCCCAACAGACCAATAAGCCATGCGGCAAATGTTATTACTATCTCATCATCAGCAAAACTTTCATGGAACCTGAGAAGAAATCCCAAGGCAAGGAAGAGATGATGTTTGCAAACGCAGAAGATGAGTTTTTCTATGAGGTAATTCCTGGTTTGCCTCCATCCACCTTGGGGTGCTTGCATACACAAGTTTTAACTTTTGGCAAAAACATTGAGCACTCTAACACTTCCTGCAATTCCCTATTGGTTATCTAACGAATGGGCGGCTTCATTGTCTAGGAGGGAGGGGGCTGTTATTTATGAAGTGTGGTGGGAGGGGGCTGTTATTTATGAAGTGTGGTGGGAGGGGGCTGTTATGCATGAAGTGTGTAGGTGCAGTTTGTAGATAGTAACACACAACACGGGGACACATGCAGCGTTCTAAGATTCTGAACAGGACACCAGATATCCCATGTGTCCTGTTCAGATGCGGCCACTGTACCCTTTGAAGTAAATTATTGGGTGACAACGGCCGCATCTTTCAGCAGCAGTCCGCCATTAATCGTAGCGGTAAAATGACATGCAGTTTGTTTCAAATGAATAGATGTGTCCAGCCACAATCCTCTATCCCAAACCACATGTAATCATGCAATGTACGATTACATGCGGACTGAAGCTGACAGATGGGGCTTCTGTCACCCTATCATTTACTTGAATGAGCACAGCGGCTGCATCTGAACAGGGACACCTGAGATTCCTGCTGCAAGAATCTGTAGGTTTTTAGGCCAAGAACATTTTACCTGTTGATCTTGCCAGAAGTGCCGTGTCGTCTTCAATGTCATTGTGAATTGATATCAACCATTATCTCCCTTCCAAATTGCCTC